GTGTGTATCTCAGAAGTTGTGACAGACTTATCTCTGTCCTATTGTTATCATCTCATATACACTGTGTCAGATTGCTAGGTCTGTGCCACAGTATGTGTGTGTGGTCATCTTCCAGTATATTAGTAGGTGAACCTGTTTATTGCAATAGTATATATATATATATATACTGCTTCTGTCAGAGGTGTAACTTGAAGCTTTTGGGTCCTGATGCTAAAGTTGACCTGGGCCGCCCCCACTACCACTTGCCGCTTCCACTGTGAGCCAAGATACCCCCTACTATATTGGATGTATGTACTATTATTAATCTTTTCTTATAAAAACCTTGTATTGCTATACTGGTGTGCATCTACTATATATTTAATGTTACATGTCGATTGCAGCAGTTCCTCTGGTCTAAAATTACTTTTTGAAGACTGACAATTATGTTCCCACAAAGGGAATCCCTCCTTTCACAAAGGCCCTGTCCTTGGTGGAGTCACTACCAAAATTATTATTAAACCCACTCATCCACTTTCTGTCTCTGGTTCCCTTATTTACCCATAGGTTTAGTGCAATATCCTGTAATTTCTCATAACTCCCCCAAAAGAGAGCTACACAAAAAATGGGCTATTGTGGCAAATATGTGGGCTAAAGAAAAAAGAATCGCAGTTGTTGCAGACAAGAAATTGTTACAAAAAGGGGCAATTATGACAATACAGTTCCCCATAGTGCCCCAAGGGCCAGATAAAAGCAAGCTAAGGGCCACAGTTTGGAGACCACTGTGCTAGACTACCGAAATATGGAAAAGGAGGCATTGTCCTCTTTACAGTTTTACTTTCATTTTCTACTGCTATGCTAGATGTCGTGTTGCACCTCCTCCAGTCAGCAGGGGGAGCGCTATAGCCAGGAAAGCCTATTGACCTCAATGCAGAACGCTGAGGATCATGGGTATTGAACATCAACTATAGAGGACACTGAGGAAGAGAGGGAGTGGTGGAATAGCTTTTACCAGATTGCACTGGAAACTTTTTCCTCTTTTGCAGGAGTCCATGTGAGCACATCAGCCTGTATGCACACATTTCTGTGGGAGACCAGATCGGCTGGGTTAGAGGATTGAGGCCTGAGAGTGGTGATACAGGAGCAGCACTACATGGACCACAGTGACCTCATCAATCCTGCCATTGCTGCAGAGAAACTTGGGCATTTTCTCACTCTCCCCTTTCCTACAGCCACACCACAGGAACTGGTGAGAAAGTTCAATGCCCACCATTTGCAAACTGATAGCAAAGACTAAGTTACTGGCAGCAGGATGCTTAGTACATGGCACCTACACTGCATGCTGGTTCACCAAGACTTTTAAGTGCACCAGCGCTGCTTATGGACCCCAATGATGGCCAGTAGAACAGCACAGTAAAGGACTGCCCTCTATAAATCCATTCTACCAGCCCCCTGTCTACTACTCATATAAATTAGTTAGCCTAGGCCTAGCATAATCACCCCTAATGCACTTTGGCAGTATAGTCACCTGAACGCAGTAAATTTAGCCACAGTACTGTCCATTGGTGCACTCACGGAGATCTTGCTACTCTTTATGCTGATCCTGGTGCATAGAGTTATCCTAGATCTATGCGGACTGCTAAATCATACTGTATGTTGAGTTGTACTGCTACTCTTTCTAACCCACTTTCATGCTTTTATCGTTACCAATCATATTGTATGACAGTACATTGAGACTTGCCTTACTAATTAGTTTGGTGTCTACTTCCTGATACAGCATCATTATTGTGTACCTTGTATTGCCTTCAGTGATTTATGTGATATTGCAAGCTTTGTTTGCTTAACCTAGTGTGTCAGAGGGGTTGAAGTCATTGAGGAGGTTGAGGCAAAAAACAGAGAACCCATCCTATCCAGCATCTCCTGCAGGGGTAGCGATACATATGTACTAGCAGATTTAGACACACTAACAAATTGAAGCCAATGCAGTTATAGTAACGGTTTATTTTTGGGGGGATAAAGGTTTTACATGAATAAGTAAAAGCCGGTCATTGTAAGCACCCCTGGCAGCGGTAATGGTTTGAATCAATATATTTGCAGGTCAGCTTGTTCTCTTGAAAAACAACGGAATTACTGGTCAAATCACCAGATGAAAATAAAGGAAAGAAAGCCTGAAAGGAAAACCAATGCAGCCATCATATATAAGAATTGGTAGACTGCACTATAATAAATGTTTGGTTTTGATACCACTTTAAATATCTGTTTGCAAAACAGTGAAAAACTGTAATATCCAAAATTGTCGATAAACAGCACTTTAAAATATTGTTATGGTCAAAATGTAAAATCATATAATAGTTTCCACATTGTATTTCAAGCATTTCTAGCCTACTCCTAATCTGAATGATCTTGAATTCTGTGACACATCTTCACTATGCTGTGCCCTGTCAGTAACCACTGCTGAGTCACACATTTCACAGAACCTGCTTTCTGCACTACAGAGGTGCTGAAAGGACAACTTTCAGGAGCAGTCAGTACAGGAATCACTGCTTGCAGGCAGCAAGGTACCATGAGATATTTAGTCCTTAAAAATTAAAACTAAAGAGCAAAGTAGAAGCTGCAAAGCATGCAGGAAATCCAGGAAGTTCTGTAAAGAGATGGCCAGCAGACAGGCAGAACTCACAACCGGAAATTTTTATTTAGTTTATACTGAATAGTCAGATATAACGATTGCTTGTATTGCCATCACAAGGATGATGTTTAAAATTAAAATGTATGCTGTGACAATAGAATGCCTTTAAAAACTTTTACAGCTCATCAGTTTAGAGATACATATAAATAACAACCTTAGAATTATTCCTTTCATTCTGGCATGCACAAGGATACTCATTACATGTTATGTGCATAAATAGTATTTACATACATGTGTTCCACATGAATGTTAATGTGCAATGTATATGGCTGGTAATGTAGGCGAGATATATAGAGATATAAGGGGGGTCCTCTTGGATGCTTCCTGTGCACCAACCCTAAGCAGATCAGGGACAGTACTGCAGTAACATTTGAGGCCTGGTTTAAACCTATGTGTGTTGCAATCTGCTGCAGGAAAGTCCTTGACCCTATCTAAAAACGAAGCAGCTGAACACACATACATTGAAGAAAATTAGTATTTGATCCCCTGCGGATTTTGAATGTTTGCCCACTCACAAAGAAATGATCAGTCTAAGATTCGAATGGTAGGTGTATTGTAACACAGAGACAGAATAGCAACAAAAAATTCAAAAGAAATGCATGTCTAACAAATTATGCACTGATTTGCATGTTCATGAGGGAAATAAGTATTTGATCCCCTTCACAAAACATGACTTAGTATTTGGTGGCAAATCCCTTGTTGGCAATCACAGAGGTCAGACGTTTCCTGTAATTGGCCACCAGGTTTGCACACATCTCAGGAGGGATTTTGGCCCACTCCTCTTGGCAGATCCTCTCCAAGTCATTAAGGTTTGTGGCAGAACCTCTCCAAGTCATTAAGGTTTGGTGGCTGACGTTTGGCAACTCGAATTTTCAGCTCCCTTCACAGATTTTTCAATCGGATTAAGGTCTGGATACTGGCTAGGCCACACCAGGACCTTTATGTGCTTCTTCTTGAACCACTCCTTTGTTGCCTTGGCCATGTGTTTTGGGTCATTGTCATGCTGGAACACCCATCCATGACCCATTTTCAAAGCCCTGGTTGAGGGAAGAAGGTTCTCACCCAAAATTTGATGGTACATTGCCCTGTCCATAGTCCCTTTGATGCGGTGCAGTTGTCCTATCCCCTTAGCAGAAAAACACCCACAAAGCAGAATGTTTCCACCACCATGTTTGACAGTTGGGATGGTGTTCTTGGGGTCATAGGCAGCATTCCCCCTCCAAACACGGCGAGTTGAGTTGATGCCAAAAGAGCTTGATTTTGGTCTCATCTGACCACAATACTTTCAACCAGTCCTCCTTTGTATCATTCAGATGTTCAGTGGCAAACTTCAAACGGGCCTCGATATGTTCTTTTTGAGCAGAGGGACTGTTAGGAATGGACTGGCCAGCAATGGTGGGACTCACCTGCCTTTTGATCTGCAGTACCAGGGCTGGCCAGCGGGTGCTCCCAGCAATCAGAGACTCAACCTTTCAGCCAGCTAACACCTGGAACTGATGATGCTGGGGTATTTAAGGGATGGCCAGACCCACAGACTCTGCCTTGGTGTTGTGTTTGTCCTGGGCCCTGTATCTGTCCTGCATCCTGTTTCTGTCCCTCTGCCTGACCCTCTGTACTACGCTGCTTGTTACCTGTTTTGATCTCTGGCTTGTGACCCTGACCATCCCTCTGCCTGACCCTCTGTACTACGCTGCTTGCTACCTGCTGAACCTGGCCTGTGACCCCGACCATTCTCTGCTTGCTCCCCCTGTACCTACCTGCCCAATTGATATTGACCCGGCCTGCCTGACGACGCTTGCTTGTATGTACTGTTATCTGTGGGTGGTTTGGTTTGGTTTGTTTGCACTGTATTATGTTTAGTATTGCACTGCGTTTATGTTTGTATGGTTAGTGTTAATAAATTGTATTGTTTATCACATATCTGAAGTCTGCGTTTCCCCTGCATCAGTCACACACCTCTGGTCATACCTGGGAGCCCTGACATTACACCAAGGCCAATCCTGACCAGAAGTGGCTGCACAGGGAAGCCATCTTGGCTTGTTGATGGGAAGGATGGATCTTGATGAGGTTGTGTATTTATATCTGCTAGTGTTTGATGACAGAGAGTATGCTTATCAAACTCTGAAGGAGTATACCCGGGATGAACTGCTAGAATGTATACGGCTCGCTCATGTTCTAGTAGATCAGGGCACAGAGTTCTCTGAGGTGCAGCCTTTGATTGAGGTTTGTGCTGAGTTGGTTTCATCTGGTTCCCCCGAATGCAGGGATGAATTTTTGCCACCATTTAGTGCAGACCAGGTAGAGTCCCTGGTGTGGTTATTAGAGGATGATGTGGGTTACTTTCTGGAGCGTTATTCTACATGTTCACCACAGACACTAAGAGATTGTATAAACGCAGTACAGTCATTGACCAGACAGGCTTTGTGTAAGCTCAGCTTTGTTCAACCCATACTGCAGACATGGACAGATTTGTTGCACCCAGCCTCAGTCAGCTTACAAAGACCCGTTCCTGCTTCTAATCTATTTCCTCAAAACTCTATTCCTGCATTCCCAACAGCTCCTCCTGCCCTGCTATCTACCGCATGTCAGTACCCTGTTCCCACTCGCTGCACCTATCCTGCCTTTAACCCTGTAAAAGAGCCCTCTGTAGCAACCGCTCCCTCTCCTGTTCCATCCTCCAGTTCTTCTCTGTCTCCAGCTGCTCCATTCGTTTGCAGACCTGCGTTTACTTGCAGTGCTCCAGTAGTTAAAACCAGAAAAAAGCGAAAATTCTTTCCAACCAATACCATCCTGCCAGTATCCAAACCGGTGAGCCTGCCTTCCGTGGTTCAGCCTGAAGCCTCTACTCGGCCTGAAGCCTCTACTCGGCCTGATGCCTCTACTCGGCCTGATGCCTCTACTCGGCCTGATGCCTCTACTCGGCCTGAAGCCTCTACTCGGCCTGAAGCCTCTACTCGGCCTGAAGCCTCTACTCGGCCTGAAGCCCTACTCGGCCTGAAGCCCCTACTCGGCCTGAAGCCTCTACTCGGCCTGAAGCCTCTCTACTCGGCCTGAAGCCTCTACTCAGCCGGACGCCGGCATTCAGCCTGATGCCTCTACCCAGCATGATGAACTGATCCAGCCTGACGATCCTATTAGGCCAGTTGACTCGATGCCCGCTGTTGATCCAGATGATCCGGTACCTGATCCGGTGCCCGCTGTCGAGCCAAATGACCTGATGCCTGGTGACCCAGTGCCCGCTGTCATACCTGGTGACCCGATGCCCGCTGTCGAGCCAGACAATCCGGTACCTGATGACCCGGTGCTCACTGTCGTGCCTGTTGACTCGGAGCCCACTGCCTTGCCAGATGACGCGGTGCCCGCTGTCGAGCCAAATGACCTGATGCCTGGTGACCCAGTGCCCGCTGTCCAGCCAGACGATCCAATGTCTGACCCAGTGCCCACGGTCATACCAGTTGACTCGGAGCCCACTGCCTTGCCAGATGACGCGGTGCCCGCTGTCGAGCCAAATGACCTGATGCCTGGTGACCCGATGCCCGCTGTCCAGCCAGACGATCCAATGTCTGACCCAGTGCCAGCGGTCATCCCAGTTGACTCGGAGCCCACGGTTGTGCCTGGTAACTCGGTGCCCGCCGCCCCCCGCCTGGGGCCTGAGACCTGTCGTTCCGCCTGGGGGTCCGGCGCCCGCCGCTCCGCCTGAGGGCCCGAGACCTGTCGCTCCGCCTGGGGGTCCGGCGCCCGCCGCTCCGCCTGAGGGCCCGAGACCTGTCGCTCCACCTGGGGGTCCGGCGCCCGCCGCTCTGCCTGAGGGCCCGAGACCTGTCGCTCCATCTGGGGGTCCGGCGCCCGCCGCTCCGCCTGAGGGCCCGAGACCTGTCGCTCCTCCTGGGAGTCCGGCGCCCGCCGCTCCGCCTGAGGGCCCGAGACCTGTCGCTCCGCCTGGGGGTCCGGCGCCCGCCGCTCCGCCTGGGGGCACGATGCCTGTCGCCCCGCCCCTGTCGCCCCGCTGGGGGCACGATGCCTGTCGCCCCCCCGCCTGGGGGCACGATGCCCGTCGCTCCGCCTGGGGGTCCGGCGCCCGCCGCTCCGCCTGAGGGCCCAAGACCTGTCGCTCCATCTGGGGGTCCGGCGCCCGCCGCTCCGCCTGAGGGCCCGAGACCTGTCGCTCCGCCTGGGGGTCCGGCGCCCGCCGCTCCGCCTGGGGGCACGATGCCCGTCGCCCCGCCTGGGGGCACGATGCCCGCCGCCCCCCTGGGGGCACGATGCCTGTCGCCCCCCGCCTGGGGGCCCGCCCGCCGCCCCGCCCGGGGGGCCCGGCGCCCGCCGCCCCCCGCCCGGGGGCCCGGTGCCTGCTGCTCCGCCCCGCCCGGGGGCCCGGTGCCTGCTGCTCCGCCCGGGGGCCCGGTGCCTGCTGCTCCGCCCGGGGGCCCGGTGCCTGCTGCCCCCGCCGGGGGCCCGGTGCCTGCTGCTCCGCCCGGGGGCCCGGTGCCTGCTGCTGCCCGCCCGGGGGCCCGATGCATGTCGCCCCGCCCGGGGGCCCGGTGCCTGCTGCTGCTCCGCCCGGGGGCCGGTGCCTGCTGCTCCACCTGGTGGCCCGCTGCCTGCTGCTCTGCTGCCCGGAGTCCTGCCCGATGTGCCTCTGCCCGGAGTCCTGCCCGATGTGCCTCTGCCCGGAGTCCTGCCCGATGTGCCTCTGCCCGGAGTCCTGCCCGATGTGCCTCTGCCCGGAGTCCTGCCCGATGTGCCTCTGCCGGAGTCCTGCCCGATGTGCCTCTGCCCGGAGTCCTGCCCGATGTGCCTCTGCCCGGAGTCCTGCCCGATGTGCCTCTGCCCGAGTCCTGCCCGATGTGCCTCTGCCCGATGTGCCTCTGCCCGGAGTCCTGCCCCGATGTGCCTCTGCCCGGTGTGCCTCTGCCCGATGTGCCTCTGCCCGGAGTCCAGCCCGGTGTGCCTCTGCCCGGAGTCCAGCCCGGTGTGCCGCTGCCCGGAGTCCTGCCCGGTGTGCCAGTCTTTGATATCCCGCCAGTTACCAGACCCGGGCAGTGGAACATTTCGCCCAGCTAGGACTGTTTGGAGCGTCCTGAGGCCGCTCCTTGGGGGGGGGGGGTACTGTTAGGAATGGACTGGCCAGCAATGGTGGGACTCACCTGCCTTTTGATCTGCAGTACCAGGGCTGGCCAGCGGGTGCTCCCAGCAATCAGAGACTCAACCTTTCAGCCAGCTAACACCTGGAACTGATGATGCTGGGGTATTTAAGGGATGGCCAGACCCACAGACTCTGCCTTGGTGTTGTGTTTGTCCTGGGCCCTGTATATCTGTCCTGCATCCTGTCCCTCTGCCTGACCCTCTGTACTACGCTGCTTGTTACCTGTTTTGATCTCTGGCTTGTGACCCTGACCATCCCTCTGCCTGACCCTCTGTACTACGCTGCTTGCTACCTGCTGAACCTGGCCTGTGACCCCGACCATTCTCTGCTTGCTCCCCCTGTACCTACCTGCCCAATTGATATTGACCCGGCCTGCCTGACGACGCTTGCTTGTATGTACTGTTATCTGTGGGTGGTTTGGTTTGGTTTGTTTGCACTGTATTATGTTTAGTATTGCACTGCGTTTATGTTTGTATGGTTAGTGTTAATAAATTGTATTGTTTATCACATATCTGAAGTCTGCGTTTCCCTGCATCAGTCACACACCTCTGGTCATACCTGGGAGCCCTGACAGGGACATTGTGGACACTGCAGGATTTCATCCTTGTCGGCGTATTGTGTTACCAATTGTTTTCTTGGTGACTGTGGTCCCAGCTGCCTGGAGATCATTGACAAGGTCCTCACGTGTAGTTCTGGGATGATTCCTCACTGTTCTCATGATCATTGACGCTCCATGAGGTGAGATCTTGCATGGTGCACCAGACCTAGGGAGACTGACAGTTGTTTTGTGTTTCTTCCATTTGCGAATGATTGCACCAACTGTTGTCACCTTCTCTCCAAGCTGCTTGGAGATAGTTTGGTAGCCAAGTCCAGCTTTGTGTAGGTCTACAATCTTGTCCCTGACATCCTTGGACAGCTCTTTGGTCTTTGCCATGGTGGAGAGTTTGGAATCTGATTGTTTGATTGCTCCTGTGGACAGGTGTGTTATACAGGTAACAAAACGTGACTAGCAGCACTTCCTTTAAGAGACTGCTTCTAATCTCAGCTTGTTACCTGTATGAAAGACACCTGGTAGCCAGAAATCCTGCTGAATGATAGGGGATCAAATACTTATTTCCCTCATAAAAATGCAAATCAGTGCATCATTTGTTAGACATGCATTTCTTTTGAACTTTTTGTTGCTATTTTGTCTCTCAGTGTTATAATACACCTACCATTCAATTTTTAAACTGATCATTTCTTTGTAAGTGGGCAAACAGTCAAAATCAGCAGGGGATCAAATACTTATTTCCTTCACTGTAGATGTGACCGTTTCACATAGGAAACCATGTTAAAAAAGAACTGTAGTGAGTTTCTGCAAAACGCTAAAATCACTAAAAATGCATAGGTGTGAACCAGGCCTTAAGCCTAGCTTACAGATGCTATTGAAGCTGCAAGTTTGTTTTAGCACTCCAAGTGCAAGGCACACATCAAAAGCACTTTTTAGCCTTTCATATTGGCTGTGATACATTTAGCAGAAATATAAAATTTTGCTGACATTTTGGTGAAGCAAAAAGTCTCAATTTTGCTCCTTCCTATCTCAGATGCAAGTTATATTATACAAGTTTGACACAACCATGCTCCAGAAATGGTATAATATATAAATGACTGCACTGATTACCAGATAACAGTTTAGCCCCAATCCATGGCTCTCCTCAGACTACAGCCACATGGACTGGGCTGTCAGCACTGCCCTCAAACTGCAGCTGTCAGTCCCCAATCCATGGCCACAAGGGAAGTGTGTGAAGCAACTTCACAGGGAGAGAGAGGATCTGAGCACTGTAACAGGTCTGCATTTGCAGAGACAGCCTCTAGAGAAGAACTCCACCCACTGCCCAGGATACAGAGTACGCTGTGATTGGCTGTAGGCCAGCCTGCCCAGGGAACTGTGAAAGGCTATTGAGAGCTGGTTGGAACAGTGGGGGGATGTAGTCCCCAGGAGACAGCCTCTGGTAAGTGGAGAACTGTATGGGCATTATGAGCCCTTGCATGATGGTGTGCTGCAGAGAGGAGAAAAATGGAGAAGCCAGGACTCGGGGCAGTCTCACATGGGGAACGAGAGGAGACAGTTGGAGTGCTGCTGAGTTGGAGACACTGCTTGCCGCTAGTGTTCACCATTGTGTCAGAGTGGTACTGTGTTGATGCATTTTGCTGGGAGGCCGCTGCAGCTGGAGAGATCCAGCGAGCTGGAGGAGAGGAGCATCACAGGCTTCATAAGAGGTCATGGCTGCAGAGTCCAGAGTTGACTTCAATGTCATGGGTTTTGTGGCAAACATCCATTGAATGTCCAGGGTTCCGCACATCAGGGCACGGGAGGAGGCTTCATAACAGCCTACATAGTAATAAGAGACTGCTGACCACAAGGTCATTACTCTCCTCTTAAAGGGACAGTACCACCCTACCTTTTGACTTAGTATGGGGGCCTACACCCTTCCTGTAGGATAAAATGTATCCGAGTGCTCCAGCACAAGATGCTGGGTTCCAGTATTTAGTACCACACTGGCCAGTGGAAGGGATTTTGGTGAGATCCTAGGACTTTTCAGCCTTTTGGCAAAAATCACCTTTAGCTAGGGCCATCTTAGATTTAGGATTTATGTACCTGGAAGGGGAGTGGGTCCAGCATTACATGGCCCTCGCAATATTTTGTTGTATTGTACAAATTGGTTTTATTTTGTTAGTTTATTGCTGTTTTATGTTGTTGCTGCCTCATTGGGTGTATATCCCAAATATATCCTTTCTTTCTTCATCCTGGGTATGTTTGAGGATGTGGCATAGCTGGAAGGGTCATTGTCATCCAGAACCAGGGGACCCATACATCAGTGGGTCCTGTAGGGGTAAGCACTACACATGGGTCTAGATTCCATGATTTTCTGTTCCATGAGTAATGAACGTCGGCTACCACATGCCCATGAGCCACCATAGACCCCACCACAACTGTCCAATGGTGCAGAGAACAAAATGGTCAGTCAGGATGGAGTGTAATTATGGATGTCAATGAAGTCATCTGGGAGGAACAACAGATCCCTCAGGCAGTGAAGGGTAATTGTCAACTAGAATCAGGATACCCATACCTTAGCAGCTCCTTTCGGGATAAGCAATACATAAGTTATATTTTACAGGAGTGCCATCGCCACTTTGCAGATTTATAAATGACTTTACAATTATCCAGTTCTATCTCTAAAGCTACCCTCGTTTATTTGCAATAGAGATTCCAACCAGCAGCAGAGGGG